ATGGGGTGCCAGGCAGGAGCCAGTCTGCAAGGGGAGCAAGTTTAAAAACCAGCTCCCCTCACGGGCCAGCTGCCTGCCATCCCATGCTGCTGCTTTTGATACAGAGGCAGCAGCATGGGGTGGCAGCAGCCTCTGTCCTCAGGGGATTCTGAGCTTCCCACAGACAGAAGCTTCAGGGCAGGGGAGAGGGCAGGTGTCAGGAGTAGGAGCTGCAAGGGAGAGTTTGACTTCCTGGAGAGCAAGGAAAGGGTTAAGCTAACTGAGGCTCTGCACCTGAGAGGGGGGGCTTTGGGCATTCAGCCAATGAAATGCAGATAAGAAATTTCAAATGAGGGAGGTTTTTTTCCCCTTTGTTTTGTGGCAAGCAGCAGTTTTTCCCCAGGTATGAAGCAGGAGATTTGGACTCTCCCGGGAACAGTCTCCTTTAAAATATGTAAATAGGGAAAAGTTTAGATAGTCTGTCAGGTTTTATTGTTTTCCTTGTTTGGGGGTTTGGAAATCATATCTGAGCTGGTCAATTGTTTTTCTCTTCTCTTTTGTAACTAAGAATTACAGCCCAGGGAGAATCCCTGAGTCTTTTTCAATTTATGGCTTTTAACACCGAGTCATCTAGTATGCTTGCAACAGTCATTTTATTTTAATAATAAAAGTGTTTTCTTTTTGTTTTGGTTAACTGGTATTGGTTGATTTTGGTGTCCTTAAACCTAGGTGCCTAAGTGAAACCACCTTACCTAAGAGAAGCAGAGCCCCATTGTTCTCTGTAGATTATCTCTGTTTTCCCAACTCCAAGCAAAATGGAGGTTGGGACAGGGGATGAACTTTGCCTCATGCAAGGGATTCCAAGTAGTTTCTTCCCTGGAAAAGGGTTTATTTTTAGGGACACTTGGTGGTGGTGGCGGTGGCGGCAGCGATCATTTTATGTATGTATGTATGTATGTATTTATTAAATCTCGGGGAAACTGAGACCAGACAAGTGTGTCTCTGGGAGTTAGCTAGGGACACTTGGTGGTGGTGGCGGTGGCGGCAGCGATCATTTTATGTATGTATGTATGTATGTATTTATTAAATCTCGGGGAAACTGAGACCAGACAAGTGTGTCTCTGGGAGTTAGCAACAAGTTCTTACAGAATTTATTCTGCTAGCCGAACCCCATCATCTACGCTCCAAGTGCCAGGTTGGGGAATTGAGCCATGACAGCAGGGGATGCTGCCGCGAAGCAGCCTCTGTCCATGTGAGCCCAGGCTGACGTCACAGAGACTGCTCCGATAGCAACCCCCTGCCTGCGGGGAGCTCAGACCCACTGTGGACAGGAGCTACTACTGAGAAGGGATGCGGAGCAGCCTCGGTCCATGGTGGCAGGGGCTGCTTCATGGCAGCCTCCCCTAGCCCTTCTGTCCCGGGGGGACAGGCAGCACTACAGAGCTGGTGTTAGGGGGAGTCTGCTTAAAAGCGCCCCAGTACCGGCTCCTGCTTCCCCTCCCATGCTGGGAGGGGGGGGCGAATGCAAGTAGTCAACTAGATTAACCGATAAACTTATCAGTTAATCAACTAAATGACTACTCGGTCCCATCCCTATTTCCAATGTCAGTATATCTTTTTTGAGATGAGATGACCACATCTATACGCAGTATTCAAGATGTGGGCGTACCATGGATTTATTGAGAGGCAGTAAGATATTTTCTGTTTTGTTTTCTATCCCTTTTTTAATGATTCCTAACATTCTATTTGCTTTTTTGACTGCTGCTGCATATTGAGTGGCTGTTTTCAGAGAACTATCTACAGTGACTCTGTAGAAGCTGCAGAAACCATTTTATGTTTAGCTAAAAACCATCTTGTATAACAGAAACCATTTCAGCTTTTAGCCTTTGCACGTAGACCAGAGTGAACTTTCTATCACCCCATGTGCCAGGCCAAGGCATATGTGCTATTGGAATGTGTTAATTGGGAAAGACAAGAAAACTCTTTCTCTCTCAGCCTTCTTTCCTATATTGCTTTTCTTGCCTCTTTCCTAACACTTCACAAGCGTTTAGGAATGAGGCTCGCTGTACAGAGTGGACAGCACTTCGACTAGCTACTACACAGGTCAGATTGAAACTACTCATGTTTTCAGAGATATCTAGCTTCCCCTGACCATGCTCAGATGCTTCCCTAGAGTTTGGAGAATGCCCTTCCTGATTAAAGGTTTGTCTAAAATAGGGATGTAGGGATGTGAAAGTGTAACAGTACACAGTTAACCAATGGGCCCAGGATCATCCATTAACATGCATGGTTACACACAGCTTCCCCCCATTGCTCCCTTTGTGTCAGTGGCAGCAGTGTGGAGGCCAATTGCCTGGTTTTGTGAGATCTTTTTGAAGCTCTTTTGCTCTTAATTATCTTGACCAATTTAGTGTCATCTGCAAATTTTGCCACCTCACTGTTTACTCCTTTCTCTAGATAATTTATAATCATTAACTCGTGCTAATGCAACTAATTAAGTGGGCTGGATATATCCCATTCATAACTTTTGATGTGAAAATACAGATGTTAAAGGTAGAGGATATTGGCTTTGTAGTGTGCTAATCAGTTAATGTCTTTATTCAAGCCCTGGGTAACTGCTAAATTTGTAGATGAATTCCAGTTCTGTAGTCTCTTTCTGTAATTGCATGGTGAAATTCCTTTGTAGAAGACTGACTACTTTTAAATCCATGAGGGTATGTCTACACTACAGCACTAATTCAAACTAACTTAGTTCGAATTAGTTAATTCGAACTGAGCTAATTCGAACTAATGCATCCAGACTAAAAAACTAGTTCGAATTAGCGTTTTGCTAATTCGAACTAGCATGTCCACACAGAGTGGACCCTGAACCGGGGTTAAGGATGGCCGGAAGCAGTGCCGGCAGGGCATCAGATGAGGACTTAGAGCGTGGAGCTGCTGCCTCAGGCTAGCCGAGGGCTGTGCTTAAAGGGACCCGACCCCCACCCCGGACAGACAGTTCTCAGGGATGCCCTGCTTGCAAAGCAGTCCTGGCTTGGAGTGCCCTGAGTGCCCACACTGGGCACATCACAGAACTCGGGCATCAGACCGGCTGCACTTGCCGCAGGCTGCCATCTGGGGAGAGGGGGCAATTGGGGGGCTGCAGGAGAGCTTCCACCCCCA